GAAGACATAACAATAGAAACTATTTAACATGAAACAGAAGGAAAAAAAAGAATCCAAAAAACGGTAAGTTCATCAGTGAGCGATAGGACAGTTTCAAGTGGCTAGTATACGTTTAACTGGAGTCCTGAAGAAGGAGGAGAGTCAGAAACAGAAAAATATTTGAAGAAATAATAGCCAAAAATATTATGAATTTGAGGAAAATTATAAATTAACAGATCCAGGAAACTCAATGAACTGCAAGCACAAGGGAAATAATGAAAAATGCACCAAAGCTAATCATAATAATCAAATTGTCAAAGACAATGATAAGAATGTCTTGACTGTACCAAGAAAAATAACATATTACATCCAAAGATACGGAATTCAGCAGATTTCTCTTTGGCAACAATGCAAGCCGGGAAACAGTGGAACAACATCTTGGAATTGCTGTAAAACAACTGTCAGTCAAAAATTCTATGCCCAGGGGGCTTGCCCGGTGGTGCAGCCATTAAGCTGGCTCAATCTGCTTCTTGGAGGCCTGGGGTTCATCGGTTCAGATCCTGGGTGCGGACATGGTACCACTTAGCAAGCCATGCTGTGGTAGACGTCCCATGTATAAAGTAGAGGAAGATGGTCATGGATGTTAGCTCAGGGCCAGTCCTCCTCAGCAGAAAGAGGAGGATTGGCAGTAGTTAGCTCAGGGCTAATCTTCCTCAAAAAAAAAATTCTATGCTCATAAAAATGATATTTCAAAATCAAATGTGGAATAAATAATTTTAAAACATACCAAATCTGAAAGAATGCATTATTACTAGTTCCACACTATGAGAATACTGGGAGAAGTCCTCCAGGCAAAATGAAAATGATAGCAGATGAAAATATAAATAGCACTGGAAAAGGTAACTACATGGGTACATTTATAAGATTTTTTCCTTATGATTTGAATCTCCTTAAAATTTACTTGAACTATGTATTTAAAAATTATTACAGTGTGTTGTGGGGTTTATAACATGTATATAAGTAAAATGCATGATAAAAATTGCATAAAGTTCAGAAGGGGTAGAAGTGGAATATATTGTTGAAAGATGCTAATGTGGGATAGGTAGTGATGGTAGAATATGGTAAGGTAAAGACATATACTACAAACTCCAAAAGAAAGAGAACAAGAAAGAATAGATGGGACAAATGGAAAACAAATAGCAAGATACAAATAGATTAAGAATTAACCATTCTAACACTAGACTAAAAAATGGAGTGGTTACTTTAATATCAGATGAAGTTGATTTCAGAGCCAAAAATATTACCAAGGATAAAGAAGATCATTTTGAAACGACAAAGAGGTCTGTTACTCAAGAGGACATGACAATATTCAACATTTATGTGGATACACTGACTATGTTGATTATAGAGATTCATTCACAAGTATGTACATATATCAGAACTTGTCAAGTTGTGTGCTTTAAATATATGCAATTTATTCTATGTTAATTTTACCTCGATGAAACTATTTTTCTACGTCACTCATTGTCAAGCCAGAAAAACAAAAGAGAGAAAAAAGAATCACTCCCTTTATTCTACCAGAAATATATACCTCATATAAATAAGCACTTTTACTTTCATGGACAATTCAAGCACCGTTCAATACTTCAAACCCACTGAACTTCCTGTTGACTTTTGTGCTATTATTATCATATGTTTTACCTGTATGTATATTTTAACCCTGAAAAATATTATTTTTGTTTTATACAGCTGATAGACATCATACATCACACTTATGACCATATTTTACATCATCTCTTACTGCATCTCTACGTTGGTTATCATTGCTGTGTAACAAATTGCCTCAAAACTCAGCAACGTAAAATATTACATATTTATTCTCTCACACCATTTCTGTGAGTCAGGAATTGGAGGATGGCTTCTCTGGCTGGTTCTGGCTCCAGGTTTCTCATCAGGTTGCTGTCAATTTGTCAGCCACAGCTGCAGTCAGCAACAGACTTGACTGGTAGATTTCGAAGTAACCCACTCACATGTTGACAAATTAGTGCTGGTCTTTGGCAAGAGGTTTTAGTTTCTCACCATCTTAATCTATCCATTAAGCTACTTGCTTATTCTCACACGTGGCATCTGGCTTCCTCTACAGCAAACTATCCAAAAAGACATAGTAGGAAGTCACAATCTCTTTAATGTCCCAGCCTTTCAAGTGAGAAACTGTTATTTCTTTGATATTGTACTGGTTACAAAGGTTATCCCAATTTAAGATGGAGAGGAGGATGTTCATATCAGGAGAAAGGAACACCAGGAGGCAGGGAACATTGGGAGACTTCTTGGTGGCTGGGTATAAGGATTTCTGAGTTTCCAACTGGATTCCTCTTGCGTAAAATATCCCACTTAGTACTGCATTTAGCATGGGTCTACTGGTAATAAAGTATTCCAATGTTTTTCTGAATATGTCTTTATTTCATCTTAATTCTTGAAAGACACTTCCTTCGGTGTGTAATTTTAATTTGGCAGCAAATTTTTTAGGCACTTTGAAAAAAAACCATTTAATCGTCTTCTTACTTTATTGTTTCATATCAAAAGTCAGCTACGATTGTTACTCTGTGTTTTTAAAGAAAATTTTTCTTTTTTCTCTGGTTGCTATAAAGGCTTTGTTTTCTTCTTTGATTTTAAGGAATTTGACTATGATGTGCCTAGGTTGAGTTTTCATTGTATTTACCCTGCTCTGTCTCTTAGATCTTCCTGAATCTATGAATTGATGTCTTTCATCAGCTTTGGAAAGTGATCAAGCATTATATATTCAAACATTGCTTTACCTCCATTAACTTTCTTTTCTTCTGTCACTTCAACTGCACAATCCCTTCTCATCAATTCCCTATGTATAAGAATTCTTTTCTACATTTTCCTTTCTTTTCTCTCTTTTCTTAATTCTAGACATTTTCTTCTAATCTATCTTTTAGTTAACTAATTTACCTTCAACTGAGTTTAATGAACTGTGAAATCTGTCCCTGGAATCCTGAATTTTAGTTATTGCATTTTTTCAGTTCCATATTTTCATTTTTTGTTAAATTAAACACTTCATTAAATCTAGGCGCTTTCAAGTAAATTCAGTTTCAACCAGTGGTTTGAAAAGCAAGCTGAGTGTTACTATCTCAATCTCCTTCTGGCCACAGGTACCATATAAGCTTTCTTCCTTCTCCTGTTTCTTGTCCAACTGTTCGTTCTCAAAGAGAAGAAAGAGTAGGGGAAAAAGTCCCTTAAGAAATTGAGTATGCATTCATGGTGAGGAGGGCACAGGTGATTGCATCTTCAGGTATACTACAAGTTTAACTACTGAAACTTTTGTAATGTGTTCTCTGAGTGGGGGAGATACTCAATGCTGACTCGATCAGGTGACACATTGGGTGTTCTGTGGGTGTCCATCTGGCCTCTGCACTGCTTCTTGGAGTGAGAAATTTCCTAAGACCAAGCTATACTCTGTGCCAAGTAGATCCTAGCCTGGGATCAATATCTCAGCTTCACAAAGGGCCAATTCTCCCTTCGCTTAGCCCTTCAACTGTCCCCTTGTGATGCTTAATTTTTTGTGTCAACTTGACTAAGCTTTGGGACTAGTTGTTTGGTCAAACATCAAACTCGATTTTGCTGTGAAGGCATATTTTGGTGTGATTAACATTTAAATTAGCAGACTTTGCAAAAAGCAGATTATGCCCCATAATGTGAGTAGGCCTCATCCGATCACTTGAAAGCTTTAACAACAAAGACTGAGGTTTCCAAGACAAAAAACAACAGATGCTGGAGAGGATGTGGAGAAAAGGGAACGCTCATACACTGCTAGTGGGAATACAAACTAGTGCAGCCACTATGGAAAACAGTGCAGAGATTTCTCAAAAAATTAAAAACAGAAATACCATACAATCCAGCTATCCCACTACTGTGTATTTATCCAAAGAACTTGGAATCAATGATCCAAAGACATTTATGCACCTCTATGTTCATTGCAGCATTATTCACAATAGCCAAGATGTGAAAGCAGCACAGGTGCCCTTCTACAGATGACTAGATAAAAAAGATGTGGTGTATATATACAATGGAATACTACTCAGCCCCATACAAAAGACAAAATTGTCACATTTGCAAGAACATGGATGGACCTTGAGTGTATGATATTAAGCGAAATAAGCCAGACATGGAAAGACAAATACTGCATGATTTCCCTCATATGTGGAAGACAAGAAATATATGGATAAAGAGAACAGATTAGTGGTTACCAGAGGGGAAGCGGATTGGAGGGTGGCAAAAGAGACAAAGGGACACATATGAATGGTGATGGATAAAAATTAGACTACTGGGGTTGAGCACAATAAAGTGTACTCAGGAATTGGTAAACAATATTGTATACCCCAAATTAAACAATGTTATAAACCATTATAACCCCAATAAAATTACTTGAAAAAAAAAGTCTGAAGTTTCCAAAACAAGAAGAAACTGTTCATCACGACTGCATCATAGAAACCCTGCATGACTTTTCAGGCTGCAGATTTCAAACTCAAGACTGCAACATCAACACTAACCTCAATTTCCAACCTGCCAGCCTGATCTACAGATTTCAGGCTTACAAGCCTCCACACTAGCAATTCCTTAAAATCTCTCTCTCTATATATATGTTATACTGGTTCTGCTTCTCTGCAGGACGGTGAAACAATACTCTTCAAAAACCTTATGTTCCACCACTTAAGCCGATGGGAATGAAACACTGCTAATCTTCATGCCTGGCATAGCACTTGCTTTTTCTCCCACCTCCTGTCCTCCCACTGGATGACTCTTATTACTTTTCTTACTTTCTACAAACCCTCATTGCATAGGACTCAACTGTGAGACTCAACGGCTGGTCTGCGTATATTGGAAATCTAGGCAGGATAGAGTGTGGCACACTTGCATACTCTCCAAATGCTCCCACTCCAAAAAAATTAAGGGAAAATCCAATGGCATTTCTCCTTGTTCCTCTGGGTTCCTGAATTACTTTAGATAACAGAAACACTGATTGTCTCCACCTCAATTTCTTTTCCCTCCCCTGAACTCTCAAGATCCTCAAAAGGCAGAGTAGTGAGGGAACAGATAGGGTAACCAAGAATCCCAGTTTTTGAAGGACTTTCCCGATTTTAGCACTGGAATCTCAGGCCCTGAGAAACCCTCACTCCTAGGAAAACTGGAAAGATTGACCAAACTAGACAGGGAATCAGGCCAACCCATCAAACTGTCTGCTTTTAATGTTACTTGAAGTGTTCTCCATCTTTCACCTGTGTTCTAGGCTTTTAATCTCTGAAGTCAATAATCTGGTAGATTTGGGTCCCTGATAACTCTTCCACCAAATGGAGGCTTCATCTCTCTATTCTGAATCATGGGAGCGGTAGTTGCAGAAGGAGCTTACGTACTAAATGATGTCTCAACACTTTAATCTGTCAGCAATAAATGATACATTAAGCTATATATTAAGCTAAAAGTATACTTTGATAATCTTCCTCAAAATTTATTATTCCTCAGAAATAATAAATATTCATGGATTATGAAAGAAGGCATACACTCAAACTATGACTGTGGCACTAGCAAAGTGGCTTTTTTAAAATGAAAAAATATATATGCAGGTTTTAAGTAAATTTAGCATATATTTAATATACATGTTCTACATTGACTATTTATCTTAAAATCAACAAATTCTTGGAGTCTAGGAAACTCATTTTTATTTTTAATTATTTAGTAAAAACAGAAAATGTGGACATGGTACCATCCGTCCACATAACTCCATAGTCACATCCAAGACAGATGAGCAAATGGACCAAGCTACCATGAGGACAGGAGTGAGAATCCAGATAAACATGAATGGCCTTTCAGCTGTCACTGAGTACATCAGGTAGCAAGGTCAGGGAGATTGGCTGAGATAAGCAGTAGCAGTTGGATGCTACAGATATAGGAAGGCAGCTCAAAGTCAGGTGATATGAGAAGCCCTGGTTTCAAAGGTACTGAGTACACCATGAAACTAGTCCTGGTTCTACAGATAAATTCAGCCCCTAATGTAGGCAAGGACAGAAAATCTAAACGCAGGTAATAAAAGTGAAAGGACAGGTGTGGTGACACCGTGTCCATTTATGAATTCAAATTCAACAGATGCATATTAAATGCTTAATGTGTACTCATATCGTTTACACAAATTTAGCATATTTAACTTTTTTCTTTTTTTGCTGAGGAAGATCAAGCCTCAGCTCACATCTGCTGCCAATCTTCCAATTTTTTTGCTTGAGGAAGATTAGCCCTGAGTTACCATCTGTGCCATCTTCCTCCACTTTGTATGTGAGTTGCCACCTTAGCATGGATGATGGGTGGTAAAGGTCCACGCACAGGATCCAGGCCCATGAAGCCAGTCAGCTGAAGGAGAGTGTGCCGAACTTAACTACTAAGCCATGGGGCCAGCCCTGACACCTTGTCAACTGACGTCTGCTCTGAAGAGATTTTCAAAGATAGAGTGAGAGCAAACTGGTCTGATGGAAAACGTGCCACATAGCAAATATGTTTCTAAAGCCCTGCCAATATAATTATATTATATATTTTCATGCAAATGTTTATTGTACTCACTTCCAGTAAATTAAATCAGTACTATTCCAATTGTTTTAGAGAAGGAATTCCCATTTTATTTTTCATTATCGTTTCCAGTTCTCTGATGAAAGCATTAGTCTTCTTGAGTAGAATGTAGGAACGGAAGAAGAACACAGGACTGCTAGCTGTCCTATGTTATTTTAATTCAATTTTAGGAATTTAGATAACTGCAAAGTTTCCGTCGGTCTCTGCAAGGGCTGATCTATTTCTCATTTACCCTTACTCCTAGCATGAAGCCCTTTGGGGTTGTTTACTAGGCTCCTCTTTCTTGACAAACCCGAAATACCAATTTTTTGTCTTTCTAGTCTCACAATGTTGTCAAAATCTCTGCTCAGCTTCTCAGGCCTCTCAGTTGCTTTTCCTGGGCTTGGGAGATAGTCCAGTGGGAAAGTGGCCTCGGATACGGGCTTCACCTCTATAAGTTTTCTTTCTTCCAAGGTCTTGAAGATTCCTCACTGCCTAGTAATTTTAAACAGGAGCATTGGCGTGAAAAACCTTCTCCATCATCATAAAAAGCAGAGGACCAGGCAATTCCAATCTCCTCACTGACTCTTACCTGAGTTAATCAATCATAGATTGGCCTGAATAGTAAACATTCTCACTAAATT